AACCAGCCAAACCCAAGAAACTTCTGATATCTGCTGGAGAGGTGGGTCAGGGCCAGTGTTTCACTACCTCAATTTTCTGAGAATCCACTCGGATCCCTTATATGGATACCACATGACCAAGGAAAGTGATCGATTGTAACCAAAATTCACATTTGCTGAACTTAGTGAATAATTGACAATCTTTGAGAGTTCGCAACTCTCAGATGAGTCGCATGCTCCTCCTCACTCCGAGAATAAATGAGGATATCATCAATAAAGACGATAACAAACAAGTTTAAATATTGTTTGAATACTCTGTTCATTAAGTCCATAAAAGCTGCAGGAGCATTTGTTAGTCCAAAAGACATAACTATAAATTCATAGTGCTCATACCAGGTCCTAAAGGATGTCTTCAGAATGTCACTATCTCTAATTCTGAGCTAATGATAGTCGGATCTGAGGTCTTTCTTGGAAAAGCATGTAGCACCCTGAAGTTGGTCGAACAAGTCATCAATCGTGGGGATGGGGTACTTATTCTTGATTGTGACTTTGTTCAACTTGTGATAGTCAATGCACATCCTAAGAGAACCTTCTTTCTTTTTCTCAAACAACACTGGAGCACCCCATGGAGAAATACTAGGTCTGATGAAGCCCTTATCTAGAAGGTCTTTCAACTGCTCTTTCAATTCCTTAAGCTTGGCTGGAGTCATTCTGTAAGGAGGAATCGAAATGGGTTGCGTATCTAGAAGGAGATCTATGCCGAAGTCGATTTCCCTTTCGGGAGGAATTTTAGGAAGATCTTCCGGGAACACTTCTGGAAACTCATTTACTATAGGGACTAACTCAAGAGCTGGGGTTTCAGATTTTGAATCCTTAACTTGAACAAGATGATAGATATAACCTTTATAGATCATTTTTCTGACCTTAAGTTAAGAGATAAATCGACCCATAGGCACTGAACTACTACCCTTCGATTCTAAGACTGGCTCATTTGGAAACTGAAATCGAACGATTCTAGTTCTACAATAGACTGAGGTATAACAGGAATGTAAACAATCCATGCCTAAAATGGTATCAAAATCTACAATTTCTAACTTTACAAGATCTACTGAGGTGACTTTATGAGAGACTGTGACAGAGCGATTTCGGTATACCCATCTAGCTATATTGGCACCAACTGGAGTAGAGACTGAGAAGGGTTCTGAAAGAGTTTCTTGACTGACAACAAAATTTACTATTATATAGGGAGTTACAAAAGACAGTATAGCCCCTAGATCTAACAATGCATAAATATCTAAATGAAAAACTTGTAACGTACCCGTGACCACATCAGGAGAATCTTCCTGGTCCTGGCGAGCCTGTAGAGCATACAACCTGTTCTGGCGCTGACCGCCACCTTTACCAGACGAAGCACCCTACTGAGTTGGGCGACTTGCTGGTGCTGTTGGAGCTATAGACTGAGCCCTATTGTTGTTACCTTTTTGCCCCTGCCTGGCAGAAAGGCAATCCTTCAACCTATGACCAGACTGACCATACTGCAAGACACTCGCCCGGATGGTTCTTACCATACTTTGGACAAGTTGGGAAGGTCCTGTTACCTGAAGCACTCCCCTGAGACCTAGAGCCTGGTGCCCTACCCTTGTGATCCTGTCGAAACCTGGGGGATGGAGCACTGGCTGATGAAGGTGCTAGGGTTGTAGACCTCTACTGAAACTGTGAGCGATTCTTGGAGATAACTAGATCTTATCTCTTCTCAGACAAATTTTTGGATCAGATCGGGTCGAGCCGGATCAGGTCAGTCTACATGAGCGACCCACGCCGCAAAATTTACACTAGCTGCTCATCTTAATTCTTATCTCTATTAATTGTTATTCAGTGTTTCTATTGTAATTCAATAGTTTGTATTGCAATTAAGATTTGAAAGTAGTAATCATATTGTAGTTCTCTTATTAATATAATGAGTAATTCGGGTTTGTTCAATTGGTTCTTTCAATTGATAGTACTCCAATAACTGCGGTGTCACTAAATAGATTTAGCACTAGTATCCAAAAGGATGGGTTTTCTAGCAGAACTGTATTTTACTTGCCTTGGCTTCTCCTAGAAAGACTAGCTACCTTATTCTTCATTTTAATTTGATGGTGGAGCTATTATTTGGTTCAATGGTTTGTTTGGCAACAAACAGTTCTATGATTGGAACCATTTTAAGGTGAAATTGCTTTTGCGATTTCGATAATGGAGCTTTGAAAGTTCAACAGAGAGTGTGGCCTTTTTTTACTCCATTAGTGTAGCACCTATAGCTCTTCTAGAAATCCTTCACGCTGCAATTGAATCTAATTTAGACAGTAAAAAACAAGAGGAAGACATATAATTGAAATATGCTTTCTGATTTGGATGGTGGAAACTTATGATCTACATATATTTCTAAGGTCCCTCTAGAGATTTTTGACGCTTCCATTGATAAATTTTTGTGCCCCACTGATTTTACTTCCTAGATGGTGTTAATTGGTAGCAATTGTGATGGGGATACACCGTTAGAAAGTATAATTGATTAGGAGATCTATTCAAGAAATTTTGCATGTAAGGTGTTTGCTGAAATAACCTATAGACAAATTGACATGGACTTTGAACATTCTATACAAACCGCTACCTAGGTATTCAAGGAAAAGTCTCATAAATGCTTCTCAAAGGTACTCATTGATGAAAACCCAGATAAACAAAAGTTGCTTGTTGAAATTTCCTACAATATATATATGGGTTGCTTAATCTCCTAAGCTTGGTCTTACTTCACCGTCAAGAAAGGAAAGAAGACTTTCATCTCCAAGTTTAACTCAAAGGTAGCTCCCTTCCTTCATTTTTTGATGGAGTGAACCAGTATCAAACCATAATACCCAACAAACATTAGCTCTCCCTGAAAAAAAGAAAGTGATCCAGCCGCACATTCCAGTACGACTACCTTGTTACGATTTCAGTCCAGTCACTAGCCTTGACTTTGGCATCCCCCTCCTTGTGGTTAAGCTAATGACTTCGTGCATGGCTAGTACCCATAGTCAGAGGCGAATCTAGGATTTCAAGAAGACGGGTGCACCATTGTCAGGGACGGCTTTGCCCCTTTAAAAAAGGCAACTACTTTAGGCTTCCAAATTTTAAGGACCTCAATTATCTTAGCAATAATAGATATAACTTTTTCATTAGAAAAATATTAAATATCATTTGCAAAATTTTTTTTTATTAAGAGAAAAAGTTAGTAGAAGAAATTTGATATTCCTAGAGTACTATGTCGCAAGAAAGATTAAATGCATTGGTTATATGAATTATTGATTAAAAAGTAATTATTAAAAGAATACAATTATAAAAAAATATACCATTTTGCATCTCAAGAAATTTAAAAAGTAGACTTTATTACAAGAAGGGAAAAAGGACAAATATATCCTCAAATTATCGTAAATGGTATTTAGATACCTTCCGTCATATTTTTGGGACATTGGTGCCCCTGCCGTAAAAAATCTAAAGCATATATGCCCTTTACTCTAACAGAAGACTAATTAGGGACACGTGGCACAATCTTATCCGTTGATCCGATATATTAAATATCGGATTGACGGATAAGATTATGACACGTGTACATCCGTTAGTATAAAGGGTGTATATGCTCTAGTTTTTGGACGACAGAGACACCAATGTCCCAAAAATATGACGAAGGGTATCTGAATACCATTTACAATATTTCTGGGGTATATATATCCCTTTACCCTAAAAAGAATATTAATTTTTCTTAAAAGTGTAAGGCTTCAGTTTGATTTTGTCTCAAACCACTTGTGTGTTTGAGCCGCCGTTGATCATTGCACGTAAGAAAAGATCTAAAATATTATAATTGATTTTGCTAGTTTACTTACTAAGAATGGTGATTTCAGTTGAAAGAACGAAAAAGAAGGAAGAAATGGTTTTTTTCAGCTGGAAAGTTTGAGCGCTACTTCATGTTTTTTGTTAAATAAAATACTTGCAATGGAACCTACTTTTAGATTATTATTATTAGTTTTAATTTTTTTTGTAAAAATAACAATAGAAGTAAAACACAATGCTGCATTTTTTAATGTTTTTTTTCAAAAAAGGCCGACTGCAAGAAAGGAATATAGTAATTGGGAATCGATCTCTCAACCTCACAATGCAAAACAAACACTCAAACTAGTGAGCCATCCAATTATTTGTAATCATGGGCTCATTCAGTTGCTATTTGATATATTTTACAAATTATACAAGTAGTTATATTGAATTTTGTTGGATGACCACAGGTTCAGGTGACCCATTTTTTAAACTAAATTCACCCCCGCCATAGTATGACGGGCGGTGTGTACAAGGCCCAGAAATGAATTCACCATTGTATCGACGACCGGTGATTACTGGCGATTCCAACTTCATGTAGAAGAGTTGTAGCTTGCAATCCTAACTAAGGACAAATTTTCAGGGTTAGCTCATTCTCGCGGGATCGCGGCCTCAAAATGTCGACGTGCCTTTTCTAGGAAAACACTTTGAAATGAGGGATATTGGATTACGAAATTCAGATTATATTGACAAATTCTTCGATACAGGCTAGGAATTTATCATTGCTTTAGAGTATGAGTGTGAAATTCCAATAAAAGAGCTTCATTCTTTTTTTGGTGGTAAAGATTAGATCTTGCATTGATAACCAAAAGTAACTTACAAACAAGAATAGGGATTGGACTACCTATTCTCTCATGAAAGAAACCTCTTATTGATAAAATGCTAAGTAGAGTTACTAGTTGGACCACTAAGTTCCTCTCCTATGCTGGCAGAGATCAAATGGAGAAGAATATCTTGTTTTCTTTCCAGATCTTTTCGGCACAAATTTTTGCCCTTCCTAAGAAGATTCTACATGTTATTAAAAGTATATGCAGGAATTTTTTGTGGACAGGGCATCTAAGAAGGCACTTTTTGCCTGGGAGAAGCATGTTGGCCTAAGGCTAGTGGAGGTATGAATTTTCTTGATGTGTTCACCTGGAATAATGCAACTATTAGAAAACTCACGTGGAACCTATGTAAAACGAAGGATAAACTATGGGTTGAATGGATACATAGCTATTATGGACAAGGTGGAATATGTGGCGTCCAGGTTAAACAATTATCTTGGCTAGTACAATGAATCCTTAAAGCACACAAATATTTGCAAGCTGTTGGTTATAATGAACATAGTGTGAATCAAATAGAAAGTACTCTATTGAAAAGGTGTATGGAAAGATTAGAGGAGACATGGTGAAAGTGGAGTGGAGAATACTGGTATGGACAAACTATGGTGCACCTAACTGGCTATCTATATTGTACATTGCACTTGACAAGAGGCTCTCAACAAAGGACAAAATGGTGAAATGGGGAATACCAACTGTCTTGACATGTCCCTTGTGTCAACTTGAGCAGGAAGATATTGATCATCTCTTTTTTACCTATTCTTTCACTACTGGAGTATGGAACAAAGTGCTACCATGGCAAGGAATACAATGAAAATGAAAGAAATGGTATGAAGAAAACCAATGGGCAATCAAAAAAATTAAAGGTAGAAACAGTAAAGCCCAACTGTACAGGGTGACTTTGGCTGGAACCATTTATCACCTGTGGATGGAACGTAATTGCAGCATTTTTCAGAACAAATAGAGGAATGAGGAGCTCATGATAAGGAATATTACAGGATATATACATGGTAGAGGATCCCACCAAGGAAGATTAGGGAGTATACTTCGAGAACTCAATGTCTATCCCTAGTAAAGATTTAAAGGAAGAGAATAGATAGTTTGAATGTGATATTTAGCAAGTCTTGGGGATAATTTATCCAAGTGTGCTGGTTTTTCTCTTAATGTTTTGTAACGATCACTTTGATAAATAAAATATTAACAACCTAAAAAGAAAATTCTCTGTACAGACCTGATTACTACTAACATCTCCCAAGGAGTACCAACAAACTGTTGGAGTGCCTTTTTCCTTCTTTGGCTTCTGATATGTATAAGTAGTACTATTTCTTTCAAAACTCCCTCTGTATCCACCATACTCTTCTGGATTATGATCTTGTTTCTCTCATGCAAGATAACGTAGACATTCATAGCAAAAACACTTAGTAGAATCTCAGCACTTCATGGTTTCTAACTCGCTAGCATACACACCCATTTCAATTCAGCTTGCCAATCCTGAATGCTTCTATTAATTCCCACCCAGTGACACAACCTTCTTCATATAGTTCTAGTATTAAAACATTCAAAATATTGGTGATCAAATGATTATAAATTATATCCAAAATATGCACAATCTGGAGGGAATTAGATCCCAAATTCAACAACCTTTTCGTTAATGCAAGTTTGTTTTGGATAGCTAAACACAATATAAATTTGAATCTAGGATGCACACAAGAGTGTAACGTACAGCTCCTCCACTCCACCTTAAAATATTGAGGCATCAAGAAAGCATATATCCTTTTTGTGGAACAAGTTTTACCCTTCTAAGTTGTCTCGAAAGCTGCAAGTAGAGCACATAGACAATTATTCCCTTGCAATGCTAGCTCCCTTGATTCCAAGATCTTCCTCACAACCCAAGAAACATTATTGGGAATCTGGAATGTTTCTATAAGTCTATTCTTTATAAAGAAATTGTGAATCCACAAGCAATCCTTCTTTCTTGCCAGATTCCACAACTGTTTCGGGATATGTGCCTTATTCCACAAGCTCGGATTTAGTATATTTAGTCCTCCAACAGCGTGGTGTTTTCAAATATTATCCTAAGACGATACTAAAGCCTTTTTAGATACAGTAATAACACCAGTCCGTAAAAATGTTCTACATATTTCCTCAATAGCTTTAAGCACCTTCTTAGGAATAAGAAATACATGTTCCCAATATTCTTGCACACCAAACAATACTAATCTAGTCAACCTGAACTCTTCCTGCATAGAATAGTTGCTTAGCTGACCAACATATAACTTTTGTTGTGATCTTCTCTAGCAAAGGAAAATAGTGATGTACACTCATCTTCATTGTATCTAAAGGCACCCCAAGATATATGAATGGTAGTCCTCCTTCTTCAAACCCCAACTCCTTCATCATGTCTTTTTGATGTTTAGTGGAATTCCAACAATATACATATTATCATGTAGTCCAGATGCCAACAAAATCTCTTGAAGGCAACATGTAAGAGTCTAATTGAAATAATACCATCCCTGCAATATATCAACATATCATCAACAAAACATATGTGAACAATACCCAATTTACTACATCTGGTAAGAAAGTAGAGATCTCCATTATGTGCAAGCATGCTTAGCTCCCTCCCAAGTATTCCAATGCTAAGACAAAAAGACAAGGAGATATGTGTCTCCTTGTCTCAAACCTCTTTCAGCCTGAAAATGTGGAGTTAAACCCTCATTAATTAGTAAGGAGTAAGACACAGTAGAAGCACATGTCATAATTCAGTGTATACATTTACCAGGAAACCCTTATACACGAGTATCTTTCTTAAAAGGCTCCATTCTAAGGTATCATATGCCTTTCTTAGATCAACTTTTGAAACACATCTTGGGGAGATCCACTTTCTTGTGTAGCACTTGTTAGAAAATTGGCATTTTTTCCAGCTTATTATTTTTACTGTTTTTTACTTATTTCAGTTTAGTGCTTCCTATTTTTAAGCTAGACTTAGTCAACTTTAGTTGCTTAACTTTCTGAAGTTAGTGGCCCCTTTAATGGCTGTTAGTGGCCCCTTTTATGGTTGTTAGTGGCTACTAGATAGGAAATGGTTAGGTTTTTCCTTGTATAAATTCAGATCTTATGCAAATTAATATACAACTGGAATTTCATAAGTTCACTCAATTTTTATTCTTCAAATCAGTTTCTTGAGTATTTTTGTTCTAACAGATCAGTTTCTTGAGTATTTTTGTTCTAACAGTGGTATCAGAGCCTCTAGTTGATCTTACAGGACCAAAGAGTTTTAACCTACAACACAAATGGCATCCAACAACCTACCTTTAAATCCACCATTCACTTTCACCGGTGAAAATTACCAAATCTGGTCTGTGAAGATGCAAGCTTTTCTGGAAGCCTATGAACTTTGGGAAACTGTGATGGAAGATAAACCACTTGCTGCTCTACCAGCAAATCCTACCTTGGCTCAAATCAAATCCAACAACGAAGAGAAGGCAAAGAAATCTAAAGCCAAGTCGCTTATGCAGAATGCTGTGGCAGATTCTGTGTTTTACAGAATCATGGCTTGCAAAACAGCAAAAGAGGCTTGGGATAGGTTGAAAGAAGAATATCAAGGCAGCGATAGAACACGTCAAATGCAAGTGTTGAACCTGAAAAGAGAGTTCGAGTGCTTGAATATGCAGGACGATGAAACAATCAGTAAGTATGCTGATCGAATCTCCTTAATTGTTAATAACATTAGACTTCTTGGTGAAGAATTTACAGACAAACGAATTGTGGAGAAAGTTCTTGTGACTCTTCCTGAGAGGTTTGAATCTAAGATTTCCTCTCTTGAAGAATCCAAGGACCTGGGCAAACTTTCATTAGGTGAACTAATGAGTGCTCTTCAAGCCCAAGAGCAAAGGAGGACTATGAGACGGGACAAGTTCACTGAAGGAGCTTTCTCTGTACAAAAACAAATATTTGGTAAAGGAAAGCAACAGGTCAACCAAAATAATAAGGGCAAGCATGATGGAGGAAACAATAGTGGAGATGTTAAGAAGAAGTTCCCTCCGTGCAAACATTGTAAAAGAACTACACATCTGGAGAAGTACTGTTGGTGGAGAGTCGATGCTATATGCAGCAACTGTAAGCAGACAGGGCACATATCCAAGGTCTGCAAATCAAGAGCAAAGGCCTCTGGTTCTTTACAAGCACAAGTAGCAGAAGCTGCGGATGCACATAAGGAGCAACTCTTTGCGGTTTCATACTTTTCAATCAATGAATCCTCTGATTCATGGCTTCTTGACAGTGGTTGCACACATCACTTGTGCAATGATGCTGAAATGTTCAAATTCCTCGATGATACTTACAAATCTAAAGTAAAAGTGGGAAACGGTGAGGCAGTAGAAGTCAAAGGCAGAGGTACAGTGTCTATCTCAACAATATCAGGTATCAAAACTATTCCTGATGTTTTGTACACACCTGATATGAGTCAAAATTTGTTGAGTGTTGGACAAATGCTTGAAAATAATTATTCTCTGCATTTTAAGAATCGTGAATGTGTTGTTTCTGACCCTTCTGGAGTAGAATTATTTTATGTCAAGATGAGCAACATAATGTTTTCAGTTGATTGGGAGAAAATAACTGAGCAGGCTTACACTATTACTTCACAAACATGTACAAACCTATGGCACAAAAGGTTTGGTCACTTCAATCTGAGAAGCATCGCAGAGATGAAAAAGAAGGAGCTAGTGGAAAAGATGCCTGAATTTCTTTCTAATGCTCAAGTTTGTGAAACTTGCCAACAGGGAAAGCAAACAAAATTGCCATTTCAAGCAAATCAAGTATGGAGAGCTAACCAGAAACTTCAGCTCATTCATACGGATGTTTGCGGCCCATTGAAAACACATACATTGAGTGGTAACAAATACTTTCTCCTCTTTATTGATGACTACACCAGAATGTGTTGGGTTTATTTCATTAGACTGAAGAGTGAAGTCTTTGATGTTTTTAAACAATTTAAAGCTTTAGTAGAAAATCAATGTAATCTTAGTATTAAGGCTTTAAGGTCTGACAATGGAGGAGAATATACTTCTTTTCAGTTTGTGGAGTTTTGTAATAGCACAGGTATTGAACGTCAATTGACATTACCATACACTCCTCAACAAAATGGCGTGTCTGAAAGGAAGAACAGGACAGTAATGGAGATGGCCAGATGTCTTTTGCTCGAAAGAAAGATCCCAAATCAGTTTTGGGCGGAGGCAGTCAATACCTCTGTATATTTGCTGAACAGATTGCCTACTAAGGCATTGCAGGATATGACTCCATATGAAGCTTGGTGTGGAAACAAACCATCAGCACACCATCTCAGAATCTTTGGGTGTATATGCTATTATCGAGTTCCAGAAACAAAGAGGACTAAGCTGGACAACAAGGCTCATAAAGGCATATTTATGGGCTATAGTTCATCCAAAGGTTATAGGATTTTCTGTTTGAGATCAGAAAAACTAATTCTCAGCCGAGAAGTAAAGTTTGATGAAGCAGCTGGTTGGGATTGGAAAAATCAGAAGACCTCTCATTCTGATTTATTTTCAAAAGAGCAGCCTCAACTTTCAGAAGATGAACTAGTGGATGATGTACCAGTGAGGGGAACTCGATCCTTAAAAGATGTCTATCAGCGGTGTAACTTGGTTACCTCTGAACCAACAAGCTATGCTGAAGCACAAGACTCTCAGGCATGGAGGAGAGCTATGCAAGATGAACTAGACATGATCGAGAAGAACGAAACCTGACAGCTTGTTGACACACCTAGAAATCGCAAGGTGATTGGTGTAAAATGGA